CTGATGGGCTCCCATGCCCCCCTACTAATTAGTTCAATTTTGTTTGGGTTAGAAGCTGTGTTCTAGACTTGCTTTGAGTTCTAGCTGTTTCTTGATCCAACTCTGTTTGTATTGCTCCTTCCCGTTTGGGTTGTTCAATGACATCAGATTTCGACCGAAAAAAAATAAAAAAATCACGCACGGCTCTAAAATCTCACAAAAGAATTTTCGTGAAATGAGCCTTCAACTTTTCAGAGATTAGTATCCAATTTTTATTGGGATGTATGCAACCGTTTGTAACAAATCGATTGAATTAGGGGCACGAATGGGGGCATGAATTACTGCCCCCAATAGAGAAGAATTTCTACCCCATGCTTTTGGTAGTTTCATGACCTAGCAGTATTGAGTTCGAAATCATATTATGTAGTTGAAGAAGTCATAGCACTGAATTATGAATTTGGAATTGGGCAACAAACCAATTTCTATGGAGGCACGAGCCGAACTGCAAACAGATAAGTTTTCTATTGTCACTTTCAGGATCCACGAATTATAGCATGGAACATGCTTACATGTTTTATCAATGCATATCTTCATGTCTTTCTAAAGTTTATCATGGCCTATATATCTTATGATGTAGATGAGAAGGGGTTGAATTTACAAAGGAACTTTTCTGTAAAAAATTCTCTAGTTTCATAAAGATAATTGGTATTCAAATTTTAACTAGAACATATGCAGATCATATTCCACTTGTGCAAAAGCCATAACTTTGTGCCATGAATCTCTGAATTGGAGGCAGGTGTTAAATCCTCCAAAGCCAAGGCTCGCACATGATTGAACGAAACCAGAAAAATCTTGTAGGGGCTGAAAATGGAGTAGAGGCATATATGCAAAAATGCTCTGAGAAGGCAAAACCAAAGTTACAGCTTTCATTCGAAAGTAACATATGTCGATCAAAGTATTGGTGATGCCCTTCTATTCAAGATTTCCTGGAAGACATGATACTTGATCAATGAGAGCCAAGAGAACCACGTGTGATGTCTACACTGTACAAAAAGGCAGATTTACCAAGGCCAGCGAAGGTGACTGGTGCAATGCCTCTTGGGCCCAAACATTGCTGCCGTCGGAATTCAGCGGGTGCGCGTCGGAATTCAGTGATAAAGAATGATGATATCAATCCTGGTCTTATGACTCATGAGCTTATGGTATGTCTAGTGCGATTTTACAAACAGCTAATTTTTATTGTTGGTGAAGCCATGGCCTCAAAGACGTATGATCAGAAGCTTTTAAATTGATTATATATACATCTGACACATGCCAAGGCATTTTACTTATTCCTCTTGCATTTGGAAGATGAGAACAGTTGCATGTATGGCCCTGAATTTGAATCTAGTCATATGCTGCTCAATATCTAGACACTACTACGCCTACGTATTCTGATTTTTGTTGATGAAATCAACATTATTATCGTGTGGTTAGAATTTGGCAGCCTGTTAACCTCTTGACTACATTTGCGTGGTCAGGGCAGCTACTGCATCACTCAGGATAATCCATAAACCTATTTCTATATGGTGGCAATTTATGAAGCCAATTGCACCGAAAAAAACTTTGTTGACGAACACATTGATAAGCGATAAGATTTTGGGGCTGGGGGGAAACATGCAGACAAAGAAGAAGAAGAAGGAGAAAAAAAGGCTAGAGACATTAGTTTAGGCGTTAGTTAAGTTAGGGTTTTTTTTTCTTCTCAATTTTAATTAAGAGTAAGTTGGGTTTTAATTTTAAGGATAGTGTGTCCAATTTAAATCCCTTAAATTAAATTTTACTAAGGTAGCATGTGGAAAACAAAATTTAAGTAGATCATGGCAAATAAAATCAAAGCAGAGAATCCGGATCCTTTTTTAGCCCAAGAGGCCTTTTGCCATGACAAAAGACCATGAGTGGAAATGCTCTTAAACCAAATATTTTTTTTTAATAATGAAGCTCAATAAATGCATTACGAGGACATAAGATCATACAGGATCCCCTATTCCTATATTAGAATTTCTCCGTCAAATGTGAAAGACATGTTGCATTGCTGCAACAAGCAAGACAAACGCCAATTGTTGGTCAGCTTTGGTACAAATTGAAATTTGATCACAACTTTTTTTTTTTTTTGGATAAAAAGAGGTGGACAAGCCCCAAAACAAAACCCGAAAGCCTATTCAGTACAAATCAAATGGCCCCGAGTGACCCCCAACAAATCATCAGCTAACGCAGAGCTAGCCCAAATAGGAGCTGAAGCAAAAAACTGAATATCCAAGTCTAGATTATGGCTCCATTTGGCAAGGCAATCCGCCAATCCATTCTTCTCTCTGAAAATATGCTGGATATCCCAACTCTCAAAATGTCTAAGTATCTTCCCACAGTTTGAAAGCAAAGCAGTTAGAGGATGGAAACAAAGAGAATCCCTTTGTTGGAATAGATTCACAGCAATCTGAGAATCCATTTCAATGAGGATCTTGGTGAAGCCCTTAGCCACTGCTAATCGGAGGCCAAAAAATAAACCCCAGATTTCAGCATCCAAAATACGCCATTTCCCTAAGTTCACAGCAAAACCTCCACACCACTCCCCAACACAATCTCTAATCACACCACCAGCACCAATTTTCCCAGAAACATTCATGCAGGTGCCATCCACATTGAGCTTAACCCATCCATTTCCAGGCGGCTCCCACCTTAGCATAACCTGAGTTCTAGGCACATTCCTACAATTCACACTAGAAGCCTTAACCCAATCCAAAACAGCAGCACAAATAATCTTCCTAGGATCACAAGGTAAGTCCTCAGCATCATTAAAAATGTACTTGTTACGCCACTTCCATACATACCAACAAGTGAAAACAAACATGATATTCCAAGGAGACCTCCCTTCCCACTTAGCTTTAGAAAAGAGATTGCTCCGAAGCCACGAAGGATAATCATATAAGAAAAAAAACATGGAAATTACTTGGAGGCAGAACAGTAAACCTTAGCACGCCCACAATCCCTAAGAGTATGAATGATATTTTCAGAGTGCCAACCACAAACAGAACAAGAAGACTCCACAGCTAAATGTCTCCTAACTCTTTGCTCATTAGTTAGGATCTTACCTTGGAAAACAAGCCATAAGAAAACTTTCAACTTAGGCGGGATAGACATACTCCACAGACCCTTCCAACAAGCATTAGACCAACTAGAACCCCCATGGATCAGCTATAACAATAAAGATGCCATTAGAAGTAGGCTGAGCATCTTGACTATTACCTCCAAAACCAATAGGAAAACAGGTGATCTTTTGCACCATATCCTTATCAAGAACAGCTCTTAACTTCTCAACATCCCACCACCCTTCTTTAAAGAAATTAGAAACCTTGCAATCCAAATCGATCCCTGACTGCACCCCTGCATACTCTAACAAAGGGAGATCAGCCACCCAATTGTCCTTCCAAAAATTCACCTTGTTCCCATTCCCTACTCTCCAAACCATTCCCTTTCTCAGCAACTCGACACCATAGAGAACACTTCTCTAAGTAGCAGAACAATCTTGCTTGGAGACCCTAGGAGTATCCAAGATAGAGCAGCCCTTTAGGTACTTCTTTTCATAAATTTGAGCCCATAACCCTTGATCATGAGTGTGCATCCTCCAACCAATCTTTGCTAAAAGGGCCATATTCATGTCTGCAGTTTTCTTGAATCCTAGACCACCCCTACATTTAGGACGACAAACCAAATCACACTGGCATAAATGAACCTTCTGCTTTTTTCCATTGCCTCCCCAAAAAAAATCCCTATTAATTCGATCAAGATCTTCACAAATGCTACCTGGTAACTTAACAGTCTGCATCGTATACACAGGTATGGAAGATGTGACAGCTTGGATGAGGGTAGCTCTGCTAGCCAAGGACAGGCACTTCCTTTTCCAGGCAGCAAGCCTACTTTGCACTTTATCGAGCAGACCATTATACGTACGTAACTTTAGTCACACGACTATGCCAAAAAAAATAAAAATAAAAAAATAAAAATAAAAATAAAAATTTGATCACAACTTTGATTTTTATTGGTAGAGAAAAGGATGCATTTACATGAATTTTCTTTCACTACCCACAAAAGTCAGAATACATCTGTAGCTAATAGAGTTGAGGTCGATCCCACCGTACATATACAGTAAGTAAATGTATGAACTGTGGGGATATGAAGAACTTCTCATATTGTAGTTAAGAAATTTTGAGGACTTATAATTAAGGAGTTAGATCACCCTTCCATTATTAATTAATTTTGGAGTATAACCTCAACTTTTCTTCCTGTATATTTATGCTTCACGTTTCACTTAGTCATGATAATTCTTAATTTTCGTTTAATCACTTAAAAATAGAAAAATTAGCAGACTATTAAATATTAATGAGGATATTGACTTGCAGGGTGTAGAAATAGTAAATACCAACTTGCTAGTTGATCAGTGGGCAAATTTAATGTTGGAGGTCCCAACCATCACCTAACCTCACCCACAAACATGAATTATTAATTTACTGCACAACAAATCACATCAGAAAATCACTTTTGGTTCATCAAAACAGACTCTCGAGTTTGAACATACATGGATGTACTCATGGGGTTGGCTGGCCCTGAGCGAACCAATACTCAACCTGCAAAGCAAGGCCGCAAACTCTATGCTTCCACTTTGACGAATTGGCACCCCCATGAAGAAATTATGCTGCCAAATTAAATGACCCATCTTCTCTCCACTATTTATATGGCAAATCCACAAAGTCTGAAAATCATCAACAACAAAAACAAAAGTCCCTCAGAGGGACTGAAGTATTGGGGTTTATTTATGGGGCTTCTTCAAGTTGATGTGAAAATGTTGATGTCCCTTGTTCTGCTAGGGTTTATAGGATTGTTGGTGCGCTTGTACAATGGGCTTGTGGCGAAGCCGAAGAAGCTGAGGTCCCCTGCTAACCAAGCAAGGCATTGGCGGCCCCCCGCCTACTCTTCTTCTGGGAAACATTATGGAGATAAAGAAGTCTCGAGACTCCAGCAATGTTTCCAGGGAGGGTGAAGCTCCCACCGCTCACAATTGTGCTGCTCTTCTCTTTCCATTTTTTGAGAAGTGGAGGAAGCAATATGGTATTATTACTGTTCTTTTTAAGTATACATGTTGTTCATCTATATCATATATTTAGGGTAACGACCACAAACCCAGTCGAACCACCACAGACCGTCGTCAAACCCAGTCACTCGAACCAACCACCACCTAATTGAACCACCACTAATTCAAACCCAGTGGAACCACAACCCAGTTGAACCCAAATTGAACCACCACTGTCAAACCCAATTGAACCTTCCGGAAAATCATCCACCACCGACCATGGCTCAGTGGAACCAAATGGAGATTGGTGACTTCGAAGGGGATATGTGACTTCAAAGGGGAATAAGAGAGAGATCAGGGGGGAGAGAGAAAATGAGAGGGAACCAGAGAAAGTTTGGGAGGGGGAGAGAGAAAAGGAGAGGGATATCAATATGGAGGAGAGAATAAAGCAGATAGAACCAGAGAGTGAGTTCAGGAGCGAGAGAGAAAAACAGAGAGTGGGTTGTTGTGAGGGAGACTAACAGAGTGGAGGCAGCGTTGGGCCATAGAAAATTCATAATAAAAAAATGAGTACGAAAACTCAAAAAAAAATGCTAGTATTTTCAGTGAGTCTTAATTTATTTATTGTTTGTACTAAATAATTAGGTTATCTGCAGGTGAAGTGTTTGTGTTTGCACTTGGCAACACACAGATATTATATGCGAATCAACCAGACGCAGTGAGGGAGATTACAACATGCACGTCCTTGGACTTGGGGAAGCCTACTTATCAATATAAAGAGCGCGGCCCTTTACTTGGTCAAGGTATTTTGACCTCAAATGGCGCCTCATGGGCCCACCAGCGTAAAATCATTGCTCCTGAACTATACATGGAGAAAGTTAAGGTATGTATTTTGTATTGATATTGTGGATAGTATGTTTTAATATTGAGAGATTATGAATAATGATATTCACATCTTTATATCATATTGACAACCTTTTTTGAATAAACAATGGATGTCATGTTTAGAGAAGGTTTGATTTGTATATTACTATATAATTCATAGCAAATGCTGCCAAGAATTGTTGTGATTGCAACTATGGTAAATCTTGCAGGGAATGATCAACTTAATTACAGAGTCAACAGCTACTCTGATAAATTCATGGAACAGTAGGATTGAGGCAGAGGGAGGAGTTGCCGACATAAAAATTGACAGCTACATAAGAAGTTTCTCTGGTGATGTAATCTCAAGAGCTTGTTTTGGAAGCAACTACTCCAAGGGGGAAGAGATATTTCAGAAACTAAGAAATCTCCAGGAGGCTATGTCCAAGAAAATCTTTTTGACTGGAGTTCCTGGAATGAGGTACCTTAT